TTTCAAGCAGTGGGTTGGAAGGCGAAGGGTCGGTCAGCACCATGTGACAGTATAACGACAAGGTTCACGTTGAAAAAAAAACTGTTGCTTTATAAAATATTTCAAAAATGAAACGAAAATATTATCTAGAGCAGAATCACACTTTGGAAGCATCAAAGTTCTTGTTTAACTCACTGGAATGAAGAAATGGTGCACTGGAAATAAAAGTATAGAAAAGATACAAATTAAAGATATTTATGCTAGTTAATTGCACAACGAGGGATCGTACCCTCTCATCTCGAGGCATTTTGTGAGAGTAGCACCTTTTGGATTCGTTAGTGGGTTTACTGTCTTTCAGATCGTTCACATCGATCACATCCCCACTCCTCATCACCTTCCGATCGCTCAGCGTCATTGAGGATTGTGTGGGAGGGCCAGCAAGACTGGGAGGATGAGTTCGCCTCTGCAGGTGGTCCACGTTTTTCGCAGTACTTTTAGTTTTTCATCTATTTGGGTTCCTTTATTGGTTAGAATGTTAGCACTGTTTCTATTTTTCTTTTCCCTAAGGTTTTTTTCGCACAAGTTTTCATCAGTGCAGTTCCAGAGCCATATCAGCGTCAGTGCGTTGCATCCCGAACTCCCTTTTCGCCAACGAAAGTCGCACCGTCCACGTCCGTTGGCGACATGAGCACCGTTTTCGACGAGGTATAAGCAATAAATAACTCAATCATGGGATTTTTCAGTCTCGAAAAGCGCTAAACAGAAAATCCGTATTTTCAAGATTAGTGGTAAGCGTGTAAGCCGTTTTTATCCACTGGAGACTCCTGTTAAGGCAGTATTACGTGTTCCATGGTTAAGCAGTTGGGTGAACTCGAGTAGTAACCATTTGTCATATGAGGCCTTTTTGTCACCCAAGCACAAAAGTGCAAAGCGGTTGGTGTCGTTCAGTCCTCTTTTGAGATACACCACGCTTTGTATTTCCGATTGTTTCCGATTCGAATCTTATTGGCTTCTGAATGCGATTGGGCCCATATAGTGACAAGCCTGGGCTGGCCAATCTGTAGGTTGGAGGATTTTTATACTCCCAAACGAACGTCCTCCTAGCTGATCCACCCTAGAGGAATTGAAGGCCGCGAGTGAGAATACAGTCCAGGAGTCGACTACCCTTACATGCGCGTGATAGCTT